TTGGTCTATGTGCCTATTCTTGTATCAGTATCAGGCTATTTAGTTACTGTAGACTTGTAATAAAATTTAAAGTCTGGAAGTGTGATACTTCCTGATTGGTTCTTTTTGCTGAGGATTGCTATTCATGATCTTTTTTGTTTCCATATAAATCTCTGTATTGTCATTTTCCAGATCTGAGAAGAACCATGTTGGTAATTTGATGCATATTGCATTGAATCTGTAGATTGCCTTGGGTAGGATGGACATCTTGACAATATTGATTCTTCCAATCCATGTGTATGGAATGTTTTTCCATTTGTGTCATCCTTGATTTCTTTGAGCAGTGTTTTGCAGTTCTCATTGTAAAGGTCTTTCACTTCTCTGGTTAGGTGGATGCCAAGGTATTTCTTTTTTGTGTTTGGCTATATAAGTGGGATTGTGCTTTTTATTTGGTTCTCTGCCTGCTGGTTGCTGGTGTATAGAATGCAACTGTCTTTTGCACATTGGTTTTGTACCCTGAAACTTTACCAAAGTCACTTATCAGTGCAAGGAGGCTTTTGACAGACCCCCTTGGGTTTTCAAGGTATAGCATCATAGTATCCTCAAAGAGGGAGATAGCTAAACTTCCTCTTTTCCTATTTGAATATCCCTGATTTCTTTCTCTTGCCTAATTGCTCTGGCTAGGACTTCCAGCACTATGTTGAACAGGCAGGGGAGAGTGAGCATCCTTGGTTTATTCCCATTCTTAGGGGGAATGCTTCCAATTTCTGCCCATTGAGAAAAATGTTAGTTGTGGTTTTATCATAGATGGCTCTCACTGCTTTAAGGAATGTTCATTCTGTGTCTAGGTGCTCAAGGATTTTTATCAAGAAGGAATGCTGGATTTTGTCGAATGCTTTTCTGCATCTAATGATATTATCATGTGGTTCTTGGTTTTATCATTGTTAATGTACTGAATTATGTTTATGGTCTTCTGAATGTTGAACACCAAGCCCTGCATCTCAGGAATGAAGCCCACCTAGTCATGGTGGATGATCCTTGAGATGTGTTGTTGGATCCGATTTGCTAGAATCTTGTTGAGAATTTTTGCATCTAGGTTCATCAAGGAGATTGGCCTGTAATTCTCTTTCCTTGATGGTCTTTGTCAGGTTTGGGCATCACTATGACGTTAGCTTCATAGAATGATTTGGAGAGGATTGCATCATTCTCAATTACTTGGAATATTTTCAAAAATATTGGTATCAGATCCTCCTTGTATGTCTTATAGAATTCAGGTGGAAGCCGGGCTCGGTGGCTCAGTCTATAATCCTGTGCCTTGGGAGGTTGAGGTAAGTGGATTGCCTGAGCCCACGGGTTCGAGACCCGCCTGGGCAAATTAGCAAGACCTCATCTCTACAATAAATCAAAAAATTAGTCGGGTGTGGTAGCACGTGCCTGTAGTTTCAGCTACTTGGAAGGCTGAGGTGGAAGGATCGCCGGAGCCCAGCAGGTTGACGATGCGGTGGCCAGGAGTGGCCGGAGCCCAGCAGTCTGGGCGACAGAGTGAGACTCCAACGCAAAAAAAAAAAAAAAAAAGAATTCAGGTGGAAAGTCATCTGGTCCAGGATTTTTTTTTTTGGTGTGGAGATTTCTTATGACTGATTCAATTTCCTGGATTGTTATTAGTCTGTTTATAGTTTCAATTTCTTCTTGTTTCAACCTTGGGAGGTTGTGTGATGTCAAAAATTCCTCCATTTCCTTTACGTTTTCAAGTTTATTTGCATATAGGTGTTCATAGTAATCTCTGATAATCTTTTGTATTTCTTCAGAGTCAGTTGTGACTTTGTCTTTTGCATTTCTAATTGTGTTTGTTTGAACTTTCCCTTTTTTTACAGTCAATCTGGTCAGGGGTATGTGAATCTTATTTATCCTTTCAAAGAACCAGTTTTTTGTCTTGGTGATCCTTTCTTTTTATATGTATATTTCTTTTTTTTAATTTTGATATTGTGGGGTACAGTTAAGGGTTAGGTATACAAATATGCTTCATTCAGGCACCCTTGTTGATAAGGGGTGTTTTCCTGTCCCCAGACAAATATTACTACCATTAATCCCACCTCCCTTCCCCTCCTTCCCTATAGTTTCCCATCACTGTCAGTCATTTTCTTACAGTATTACGATGGATATTCAAGGTCCACTATATGAGTGAGAACATGTGATACTCAGATCTTTGTTTCTGTGAGAGGTCACTCAGTATTATAGACTCTAGTTCCATCCAGGTTGCTGTGAAATTCATGATTTCATTCTTTTTTATGGCTGCATAGTATTCCATTGTGTATATGTACCACATTTTTTTAATCCAGTCCTCTTTTGATGGACAGCATGGTTGATTCCAGGTTCTTGCTATTGTGAACAACGCTGCGATAAACATATGTGTGCAGGTATCTTTTTCATAAAGTGATTTGAGTTCTTCAGGGTATATTCCCAGTAGGGGGATTGTGGGGTCATTTTAGGAATTGCCACACTGTTTTCCACAGAGGTTGCACTAGTTTGCACTCCCACCAACAGTGTAGAAGTGTTCCCTTTTCACCACACCCTCTCCAGCAACTGTTATTTTTTGAGTTATTGATAATTGCCATTTTGACTGGAGTTAGATGGTATCTGAGTATGGTTTTGATTTGCATCTCCTTGATGATTAATGAGGTTGAACTTTTTTTCATATGTCTGTTGGCTGCTCAGATGTCTTCCTTTGAAAAGTGTCTGTTCATATCTTTTGCCCACTTTATAATGGGGTTATTTGGTTTTTTCTTTTCAGCATATTTGAGTTCCTTGTAGATCCAGGATGTTAAGCCTTTTTCGGACCTGGAGTTGACAAATACTTTTTCCCAGTCTGTGGGCTGTCTCCCTGCTCTCTTAACGGTTTCTTTGGTTTTGCAGAAGTTTGTCAGTTTAATGAGGTCCTACTTGTCTATTTTATCTCTTACGGCCTGTGGGTTTTGGGTTTTGTTCAGGAATTGGATGCCAGTTCCAATTTCCATGAGGGTATGTCCTGCATTTTCTAAGGTGATTATTGTTTGAGGTTTTACATTTAGGTCTCTAATCCATTTAGAGTTAATATTTGTGATCCTTTCTATGATATTTTTGTCTTCTATGTCCTGCAATCATGATTTTATCTTGGTGGTCTGGATTCCTCTGCTGCAGTTAGAATTTTGAAGATCTTGCTTTACCGGTTCCCTTAAATGTGATGCCAGTATGTTTGTATGTGATTTGTTTTCTTAATGTGTGCTTACAATTTTATAAATTTTCCTCTTAACTTTGATTTCATGGCATCCCAGAGATTCTGATAAGATATGTCTTTGTTTTTGTTTATTTCCAGGAATCTTTTTATTTCTGTCTTGATTTCCATGTTTACCCAGAAGTCATTCGGCAGCATGTTGTTTAGTGTCCATAGTCTTTATGTGTTTTGGAGACATGTTATTAATGGAAATATTTATTTTTATTCCACTGTGATCTGAAAAGATGCATGGTATTATTTTTATCTTTTAAAATTTGTTCAAGCCTGATTTATGTCCAAGAATGTGATCAATCTTAAAGTATGTTCCATGTGCTGATGAGTAGAATGTATACTCTGTAGTTGTTGGGTAAAGTGTTCCATAGATGTCTATTAAGTTCATTTTCTCAAGTGTTGAGTCGAGGTTTCAGATCTCCTTGTTGGTTTTTTGCCTCAAAGATCTATCTAAAGCTGTTAGTGAGGTATTTAGGTCTTCAAATATGATTGTGTAAGAGTCAATGTCCTCTCTTAGTTTACTTAGTAGTTGTTTTAGAAAACCCAGTGCTCCTGTGTTGGGTGCTTATATGTTTAGGATGGATATTTCTTGCTGGTGAGTTGAGCCTTTTATTATTATGCAAGGTACTTCTGTGTCCTTTTGAACTTCTGATGGCTTGAAGACTGCTTTGTCTGATATCAGAATAGCTACCCCTGCCTTCTTCTGTTTTCTGTTCACCTGAAAGATCTTCCAGCCTCCACATTTGAGTCTGTGGCTATCCTTTGCAGTGAGATCAGTTTCCTGGAGGCATCAGATTGTCAAATCATGCTTTTTTATCTAGTTTGCCACTCTATGCCTCTTCAGTGGCACAGTTAGTCCATTCACGTTCAAGTTGATTATTTAAATATGAGAGTCATGGGACTCTTAGGGGGTTGCTTTCATTCCTTTTAACTTTTGTATTTATATATGTGTGTGTTCTCATTTTTGTGGGTGCTCTATATGCCCTGTTAACTCTGTGTTTGCCTATACTTTTGTGATGGGTATGTCCATTCTTTTTTCTTTTTTTTCCCTGTGTTCAAGACATTCTTTTTTGTTTGTTTGTTTGTTTGTTTTATTTTTTGTTTGTTTGGGGTTTTTTAGTTGGAATCTCACTCTGTCCTCCAGTGGAGTGCTCCCGACCACTGCAGCCCCCACCTGCTGGGCTCTAGTGATCCTTCTACCTCAACCTTCCAAGTAGCTGGAACTACAGGTGTGCGCTACCATGCCCGGCTAATTTTTGGATTTATTGTAGAGATGAGGTCTCACCAAGTTGCCCAGGCCCGTCTTAAACCTGCAGGCTCAGGCAATCCACTCACCTCAGCCTCCCAAAGCATGGGATTACAGGCTGAGCCACCAAGCCCGGCTTCAACACATTCTTAAGTGTCTCTCCTAAAGGGCTAATCTGGGAGCGGCATATTATTTTAGGGATTGGGTGCTTGCAAAGGATTCTAATTCTCCATCACTGATGAAGTTTAGCTTGGTGGAGTAGGAAATTCTTTGTTGGGACTACTTATCTTTAGTTGCTTTCTGGTATCTGTGTGCTCAAAGAGACCACCACTGGACACAACGTGCTTCACCCATCCAAAAGAGTTTAGGGCATTTTCTGGGTCCCTACTCTCTGTCTTGCTAGGTGAGAAAAATGCCAGTCTGATATACCATGGTGGCCATCTTGCCCTCCCTTCCATTGATAAGGGTTATTTTTAACCTAGGATACTTTGTTGCATATTTATTCTCCCATAGCTCTGAAGAAGGGCTCAGATCTGGAAAGAGCCATTGCTGCTGCTGCTCTGATTTTTAGAAACTCATCGGACTCGGATGGCAAACTTGGAAAAGCTACTGCCAAAAGTCTGCTACAAACCCAACTTAGTAATTTCACAGAGGTAAGAGAATGAACATGTATGAAGAAACAGGAGCCATGCCATCATGGCTGACCCCAAAAAGTCAAAACTCCAGTTCAACACCTTGGTCATATTGTTTAATTCACAAATGATTATTGAACACATACAGGGAGTAAACAGGGCACTGGAGTTAAGGCAATGAGCAAGTTAGCAATCCAGCAGAGAAATATGCCTAAAAAGTAATTATGTGCCAGGCTCGGTGGCTCAGCCTGTAATCCTGCACCTTTGGGAGGCTGAGGTGAGTGGACTGCCTGAGCCTGCGGGTTCGAGACCCACCTGGGCAGGCGAGACCTCATCTCTACAATAAATAAATAAAAAATTAGCCAGGTATGACGCTTGTACAATAAATAAATAAAAAATTAGCCGGGCGTGACGCCTGTAGTTCCAGTTCCTTGGAAGGCTGAGGCGGAAGGATCGCCGGAGCCCAGCAGGTCGAGGCTGTGGTGGCCGGGAGCGGCCACTGCACTCCAGTCTGGGCAGCCGAGTGAGACTCCAACTCAAAAAAAAAGTAATATGTAAGAAGAAAAGAGGGCCTATTAAGAGCCAAAACCACCAATATTTATTTGTAGGTAAAACAAAAACCAAGAAAAGCAGTTCCTATGTGTGTTCTCAGATACTATTATATACTAGCACACTCACACACACACACATACACACACAGACATAGTCACACACATATATATGGTTTTAAGATACTATGGTTATCTGAGGTCACTCACTGAGGGGAACTGAGTCAAAGGTACAACTTTCTGTATGTTAATAATTATTTCTAAAGGAGAGAGAAAAAGAATCTATAGTGTAATACACATAAAAATGACTGGAAAGAAATGCTAATAAGGGTTAGCTATCTTTGGGTAGTGGGGTAGTAGGGTAAAGAGTTATTATTGCCTTCTTTTTAAACTTATTTTTTCTATTAAAAATGCATTGTTTCTGAAATATTTTTAAAGAAAAGCTATTTTTCAGGCATAATTTACCAAAAGATAAAAAGTGTTAGGTATTCTTTAAAGGAAGGGTAGGGTAATAAATCCTATAACATTTGCCTGCATCAGAAGCCAAAAGAAATGGCATATCCCAGAGAGAAAAAAAGAACTCTTTGTTGTGTGCCCTGGAAAATACTCAACATGCTTTTAACAAGTATGAAAATGAGGACCCAGTGGATGCACCATCTCAATGTAACTTATCACCTATCTGAGAACACCAGAGGAAAAAACGGTAAAGAAATCACTAAAATCATTAGGAAAGACACCATTAGCCTTGGGATCTTAGCTCCCTATGGCCAGTCAGATAGAATAAAACCAAGCAACAAAATGTACCGCTAAGGAGATACAAAAAGAAGGTAGCAGAATGAACACTATGATCTTACAATATGGAGGAAAAAAAATAAAGGAGAAGAAGCCAAACCCCATCTCTGACCTATGAGCAAAGTGTGTGGCTCCATTAGAAAAGTGGTCCTACCTATGTCTTAAAATCTTGTCCCTTCCAAATAGCATTCAGCCTCTTGGAGGGAGGGGGGTGAAGGACTTCCTTGTCCTTCACTGATAGGGTACTTCTTGAGGAGATCTAGCCTAGAGAAACCAGGATGGGTGTCAACCTGTAAAAGATATGTACTCTCATTCCAAAAGTGGCATAGTCATTGCTATAATGAGATTTTTTATACCTAGCACATGGATTAGCATTTGAGGTTGAACTAAATGTAAACATAGTTCATTACAAAAGTGAATCAAATGACCTTAGCATGTTTTTTGTTTTGTTTTGTTTTGTTTTTGTCTTGAGATTGCATCTCACTATATTGACCAGGATGTTCTCAAACTTCTAGGCCCAAGCAATTCTTTTGTCTAAGAGTCCTGAGTAGCTAAGTATGGAAGATACAAGCACACACCCCCAAGCATAGCCTTAGCGTTTTTAATGTCAATGTGGAAGATATTTTTCAAGCTGTGGTTTGAAACTGAAAATCCTCTTCATTTATGTACTATTCAGATGTTTTGCTTCAATCTGACTGTTTATGAGGACTGTGAACTTGGATTTCATTTATGAAATGCTAAATGCTGAACGATCTTCCAAAGCACATGTTTTCTTTTAGCATATTTTATTTCTTTACAATCTCAAGGCTCAGGTGATGAGCACATAAAGGATACCTTTCTTAACAAAAATGTATTTTGAAAATCTGAAAACATGAGAGCATCTGTGTTCAAAGAAAGATTGGATAGCATTGCAGTTAAGAGTATGATCTCTTAAGAGGTAGATAGGTTACGAACCCTGACTCTATACCAAAAGTTTCCCAGCTTGAGGCAAGTTACTTAGTCCTCACTAGTCTCTGATACTGCATCTTTAGAATCTGGATAATAATAGTAAATGTTCAGTAAGTCACTGTGAGGATTAAATGAGATAACCCATGAAAATATTTAGCACAGTACTCGACTGATAGCATTGATAGAAATTTGACATGTTATTATTGTTATTAAGATGTCTATTATTTGCTATGAGTTGGATGTTTGTCCCCTCCTAGCCTCATGCTGAGATTTGATTCCCTAATGTAGAAAGTGGGACTTCATGGGAGGTGCATGAGTCATGGGGGCAGATCCCTCATTAACAGATTAATGCCTTCCCTTGGGATGACTGATTTCTCACTCTATTATTTCCCATGAGAGTTGGTTGTTTAAAAGAGCCTAGTACCTCCCTCCCCCCTTGTTTCCTCTCTTGCCATCTGATCTCTACACACACCAGCTTACCTTTGACTTCCTCCATGAGTGGAAGTAACCTGAGACCCTCACCAAAAGCAGATGCTTAATTTTGAAATTTCCAGCCATTAGAATTGTGAATCAAGTAAACCTTTTCTCTTTATAAATTATCCAGTCTCAGGTATTCTGTTATAGAAACACAAAACCCACTAAGACATTATGTTTATGATCTGTAAAACTAAAGTCTATAAAATGAATCAGGATTGTAACTTCTTCTTTATTCTCACAGGAACAAGAAACCAAGCCAAAATACAAAGAGATCCTTTCTGAACTTAATGAGAACACAGAAAATAAGCTCGATTTTGAGGACTTCATGATCTTGCTCTTAAGCATCACTGTCATGTCAGATCTGCTACAAAATATATGGAGCATAAAAATTACAAAATAGACAGCTTTAAATATGTGGTTGGATAAAATAATGGCAAAAGGCAGTGTTGAATGTTTAAAATTTGTTCATCTTAAATTCACTGAATATACGAATCATACATTGAGAATTGCCTAGGATGGTTCTGATTGCTGATATTCAAACCCAATACAACTCCAAAGTTTACATATACGCTTCAAAAACGTTTAAAGAATATGGTCTCTGGGGCTTTACACTATGATGGATTTAATACCACTGAATATTAAACTGCTTTTGTGAGTCAGTAGTGACCTAAAGCACTCTACTTACAGTCATTGAGTCACTTATCCATTCATTCCCTCATTAAATGATATTTGTTGAGCAACTACTTGATAGTACTGCTGAGGATACATTAATGAACTGGCCAGACAATCCATTCCCTCAGACATGCTTGCAGAAGTTAGCAGAAGAGATGCAGATTGAATAATATTTTTATCAATTGTACACATAGTTATAATTGAGATAAAGGATATAGAATGATCAAAGAGATTATAACTTGATCTGGGTTCAAAGGACAGAGAAACTTTACTGACATTCAATAAAAGGCACAAAAACAAATTAAACAGATCAGTGGCTTCCAGAGATATGAGTAGGAAGCAAGGTGGTCTACAAATGGGCACAGGGGAGCTTTTAATGGGGCTGAAAATGATCTCTGTTTTGATTGTGGTGTGGTTACATGACTATATGCATTTGTCAAACTCATAATACTGCACACTAAAAATGTGGATTTTACTGTATATGAATTATACCTAAATAAATCTGATTAACAAAAGATCAAACTCAATATCCTTGTAATTTCTGACTATAGTTTAACCAAAAACTCCTTGAGATTATCTTAAAGTAGCCATATTCCAAAGGTCCACTCCCCTCCTACAGCCTGCATTCCTGAGTTTAAAGTACACACATATGCACACACACAACCTTTGAGATAGGCTCTTACAAAGACTTTTATTCATTTAGGACCCTGAGGACAGCAGGCCCCAGAAGGACAGCTCAGAACATGATGATAGGCAACCAAAGGGCCCCAGAGAGGGCACGAGGCAACATCCAGAGCCACAAGCCATAACTGGACCACTGGATTTCAGAAATGCTATCTTATTCAACCTTTACAAGGGAGTAATAATGTCCCCATTTTCCAGTTGCAGGGACTGAGGTTTAGAGTGACTATATGACAGTCTAAGATCATTTAGGTTACCAATTCCAGAGTCAGAATCTTGGCACAAGAGAAGGAGAGGAGTGCCAAAAGGAGAAGGGGAAGAGAAGACCAAGTTTTCAGCCCCTACTTCCCACTTTATTCCAGTCACGTGCTAAGTCCTATGTCAGTCAGGCAGTCACCTAACATGTATTGCACTACTACTGTGGCCTGCTTCCAAGAGAAAGGCAAAGAGGAACAAGTCACAATCCTTACCTTCCAGGAGTTTATCTGATAAAACATGTATGTAAATATGGTAGTATTCACCAAACGTTTTTATTCTCCTGTCAAACACATGGTGGGACTAGACTTCTCTGCTTCCTTACAGTTGAGTGCATCCATCCTTAAGTCACGAAATGTGAGCTGAAGTGATGTGCCATTTCCAGGTGGCAGCTTTAAGAAAGAGCCTGGGCTCAATCCACTACCCTGTTTCCCTTGGCGGTGATAACTGACAATATGGAAGCTGATCCATCAGCCTGGGTCCTGAGGAGACAATTTGAAGCAGAAGCCCAGACAAACCTATGTGAACATGTCACTTAACGAAGAAATAAATCTTATTGTTTTGGGGAGGAAAAAAACTTTCATTCATTGTAAAATTCTTATAACTTCCCAAGTCCATCTGTCATCTTCCATGTTCTTCCCAGCCCAATGCTACAAGCCTCACACACATATGTTAGGAAAACCCTTTCAGGAGAAAAACCTTCAACCTTGGTCTAATTAAGTGTTACCCCATTCTACAGTATTCCTGGGTCACCAAAATCCGACTCCTTGACCCTCCCCACTTTCCAAACCTCAGACGTTCCAAATCCAAGAGCTTACAGACTATGTAAGGAAAAGCACCAGACTTTAGCCTCTCACCATTTTAACAGGAGGCAGGCATGTCAATAGAAGCATTTAAATTCAGTTTTCTAAGAAAAGAAGGAAAAGGAATGAAAGAAAATTTTTTGTACATCCAGCTTTCAAAGTCTTCCTGCTTTCAGCTGTTTGGAATTGAGTGGAAGAAAAGACAAGAGGAAAGTTTCTCTTTTTCTTTTTTGTTTTTGGTAGACAAACACAGGGCTCATATTAAGTCAGGCACTCTTCTAGGGGCTTTACAAATGGTAACTCATTTAACCCCCATAACCCTGTGAGGTAGGTATTATTATTGTTACCATCTCACAGATGAGGAAACTAAAGCACAGAGGTTTTTATTTTCCCAAAGTCACAAAACTAACAGGTTTTAGAGTTTTCTGCCCTCCTTGAGGGCATTGTTGATTTTGTTTTAATATTAGGCTTTATTGTGAGCAATAATATTATAACTCAACAAAAAATAGCTGTGCACATTTCAGGCACTGTGCAGGAGCTAGCAGTACCAGCTGGGCCCTGGAGAACCAGTTGGCATTCCTCAAATAGAACTCTGTGGGCTGCTCTCCCTCAAAGCCCTTTGTGTCTCAGTCACAAGTAGCTGAATATGGCAACCTTGGTGGCCAATGGAAAGGTCAAATCTGTACCTTTCAGAGAAGGAATCAACAGAGCCTGACCAATGGTGCAATAAAGAATCTGGGAATCCTCCCAACCCTCTGGTCTACCCATAAGAATTTTTGAAAATCCATCCCAGATGGAAAGTTACACTCCTTTAAGGGGAATATCACTTATAGAATGTATTTTAGGTTGATGCAAAAAATGCAAACACATGTATGTGTTAAAACATCAGTGACAGATAGATCAATCAGCATGATGCTAAGACACTAGACTGTAGGAGTTCCACTTCTTGGTTCAAGTCCCAGAACCATAAGTTTTACTCTTAAAAGCAAGGTTCTCAAAGGAAGGCCCAACTTTTGATGACCACTTACGTACCTAACCCTGAATTGTATTCCACATTTTTTAAATAAAATGTTTTTTTTAAAAACCAAGGTGCCATCTTGAAAACGTCACTGATCATCACAGGTGAGACTGTGATGCAAATCTGTTTTGGGATCCCTTGGTTGCTAGGGAAAATATCCACTCTAATTACACACACATATACATGCACATACATATAAAGGAAAATGGGAAGGGTTGTATTTATCAGCAAGGTACAGAGGCATGCAATGAAATGAAATGAATGCAATGAATGTCTGCAAAATACTGGATACAGCAATAGAAACCAAAACTGAGGTTTCTCAGTCTCTTTCAAATAAATTGATTTCTTGACTCTGCTTCTCTCTGCGTGTGTTCACTATTCTGCATTCTCTCTTTCTCTTTCTATCTCTTTTTCCATCACTCTCCTGACCAGTTCTTTCTGCCTCTTGGTACAAAAGCCAAAACACAATGTCCCCATTGCTGATTTGACTTCTCTCTTTAAATGTTCAACAGACACTCAGAAGCATCTCAGCAGTTCCATTTCCAGTCCCCAGAAAAGAGAAGCTGATTGTCTAAATTTGAGCAGGGACTTCTCCTAATCCAGTAATCTATAGTCAAAGAGATGAATCACATGCCCACTCAGCAGGGACTAGGGAGTTGACTCTTTGCAGAGCATGTGGACAGGACAATCTCAAAGAAGGAAGAGAGGACCTAGGAGAAAATGAATGATAGAAAAAATTTTAAGAATCTCTAATACAGGCCAGGCATGGTGGCTCACATGTGTAATCCTAGCACTTTGGGAAGCCAAGGCAGGATGATCTTGAAGCCAGGAGCTCGAGACCAGCCTGGGCAACATAGTGAAATCCTGCATCTGCAAATTTAAAAATAAGTAAATAAATACATAAAATTTTTTAAAAGAATCTCTAGTACAAATTCCATAACTTGGACTAGAGGAGCAGTATTATTTGTTTCTCAGATATGAACTCAGTAAAAGTGTCTTGATAAAAATAATTTCATTTGTTAATCCAAGTGAAATCTTTTGTGCATTGTCACTATAAAAAGAAGCTAACCTGAGACTCCCTGGGAACTTTTCCTGTGATTAAATATAGCCAAGATATTCCTATACGAGAGCTGTGGCACCCTTGCAATTTGGTGAGCATAATAGAAACATACTCAATGCTAGAACCCCTAATTTTCTTTAATTTAGCATCTAAAAATGGGACCAATATGAGATTGGGATTTGTGCTTTAAATAGTCCTTTGTAAAAAGGAGGAAGAGGGCTGGAAGAAAGCCAGTGGCAGTCCTGTTCATCAGTTGACCTTCTACACTGGCAGAGCTAAAGAGAGCTCTTGGGGAGACCAGGCTGCTGAATGTGGCAAAGTGGGCCCAGTCAGTCAATGAGGGGAGAGAGTGACCCAAGGAATTCAGGCCTGAGAAATGTGGCATGTTAGTCTCCTTTTCTCTTATTTCAATCCAGGTCACGTGGATATAGATTTCTCTTTGATCCTTTAGGGGTACAATTTTTATATTTTATTTTTTGAGTTGGAGTCTCACTCTGTCGCCCAGACTGGAGTGCAGTGGCCGCTCCTGGCCACCGCAGCCTCGACCTGCTGGGCTCCGGTGATCCTTCCGCTTCAGCCTTCCAAGTAGCCGGAATTACAGGCATGAGCTACCACGCCCAGCTGATTTTTTGTTTTATTGTAGAGATGAGGTCTCGCTGCCCAGGTGGGTCTCGAACCCGCGGGTTCAGGCAATCCACTCACCTCAGCCTCCCAAAGGCACAGGATTACAGGCTGAGCCACCAAGCTTGGCTAGGGGTACAATTTTTAAATGATCAAATTCAGGAGGTAGCATGGCATAGAGTGGACTTCTGGATATGTTTTCTACTGCCACACACTTGAGGAATACCACACATTCCCATTACAACTTCTAGATACCTTATCACAATCCCAAATCTAAAGAGCAGTGACCA